TCTTTACTTTCTATGAAATTTACATGTTCTAGAAGACGTAACCTAAATCGATATAATATTTATGTTGATGGTATACATACATGAAAAAATTAGAAAAAAAAAATTTGTTTAGCATTTTTATTATATTAAAGGTTGAATAGGATAAATATTAGTCAAAAGTTTAGTATCTCAAACTTTTAAAATAAAGGTTTAGATAAACAAAAGTATGGTCAAAAAGTATTTTTTTTTCTAATTTCCCCTAAAAACTCTGGCAACAACAAAAAAATGTAATAAACATTTTCAACAATAACTTAATTTAGAGAGCTAAACTAACCAGCATGCCTTTATAACTTACCCAAAGCTACTAAACACCCGTTTAAGAGAATGGATATTAAACATATATCAGGATGGAAACCCCTAATATATTACTATATAATTTTTTTTTCTCTATTACTATTTAATTGTTATCACACGGTTAATTTATCGAATCAGACAAATAACTCACTAATACTAGCTTACTAGAATTTGAAGAAAGGAAAAAAACCTATTTAAAAAAAGAAAATAAATTATTTTGCGTAATAAGAAGATATTGACTGAAAACACTTTTAAAGTATGTGGTCACATGAATTATTGAAGAGTGGTGGTATTTTTGATCCAATGAGGAGCAGGTACATAAGCATTTGGGAAAGAACAAAATATGACAAGATTTGAATGAATTGTGGTCTAATCATAGATACACAATTGAGAGATCTTAAAAGTGTATGAGTATCTTATAAAGAATTTCTTTATGGTCGAAGCATCTTCAGTGGTTGCTGATAGGTCTTCATAACGACGTCATCTTAAATATTGAAATCTTATATCTATTACATAAAATTTAGTAACTTCGACGATCCAAACATCTAGTATTAACTTACAATAAAATTGGTTGAAAATTGTAATCAGACAAATATTACTCGATTCCTTTATTTAACAATTTACAAAAGAAATAACTCAAATTTGAAAACCATTCATAGCACGGCATAACTTCATCTTCTATGACAATTTTGTTTAAGACAATTCAAATGAAAGTGATTGTACCAAATATAATGCCCATTTAAGTACCCACAAGGCCTAAACTAAATCTTGTATGACAATTTGTTTCCCAACTTTTAGTCCACTTAATAGATACAAAAAGTTTATTTATTTGTCTAAAATTGAAAATGGGCTTGAGGCAAAGTTTGATAAACAGTTTAGGCCAATCAACGTGAACATTATCACAATTACATATATGGCCCCTCGATGGTAAACCCACTAGTTTAGTGAACAAAATAGTTGTAAGAAAACAGAATTACGTGAGATATCGAGAATAATCCACTCATGTATTCTGCCATTATTTTAACTCTAATTGCAAGATTTTTACATTCCAGCATTTACAAACACAAAATGAAGTTGCAGTAAAGAGTAAACACATAGCATAGGTATAGTCAAGACTCATAATACAAAATCCAATCCAAATATTGGGAATTTAAGGCCATTTCGTGAACTCAAAGACCTTAAGAACAATATCAAGACCTGTTGGGATTTGCCAAATGAAAAGAAGAACATTTACACCATTTAACGCTATGTGTAGATTCCTCGCCGTCTCGTTCCCTTTCTGCATTGCCGGCACCAAAGCCGCCGCCGCTGCCCATAGCACCGTTATTCCTG